TCTAAGCCCCTCATTTTACAGGAGAGTATTTTCTAAATATTAACAGGGACCCAAAAGCTTCTCCTCACTATATTATTTTCCTTTGTCTTTATATTATACTACAGGCTCAGTTTGATTATTTTGGTCTACGAAAATTTAGTTCCAACCCAGCAGATATGGGTTCTAAGGATTATTCCCCGGCTTTTCACACATTCTCATTGATAGTAATAGGCCTGTGTTCCCTCTCAAAACTGTTCCCTCTAATCATCGAGCCGCCATTGAGCACCCCCCCCCCCAACCTTCACCTCAATAGCAACTTAATGTTTGCTAATAATTGACAAGGAAAAATGTTTTCATGATATTTGCAATATTCGTCATCTCATCGTCGTCGTCAAAATCATCATCATATCAGTTAGCAATTTCCTCTCATTTGTGCCTAAAAATTAAATAAAATAAATACAACTTCCTAAAATCCAAATGATCATTAAGATTTCATTCATGCTACCTACCTTGGCCCTATTGAAACGTAGAAGTACTTGCATGCTGAGAAGTACACGATACTGCGAATGGCTTACATTACGTTTTGGTTTTAAATATAGGCCTACGCCTACAAAAGGAAATAGGCTTAATCCCATTATACATGAATCAAAATCTAAAAAACCCATGGAAATTCCATTAAATGGTTTCCAACATGCAAAATACTATGCTTGTTGTTACTTCTAAAACACTGAACTTATATCTTTTAAACTTTTTTCTATTTAGTATATCTTTTACATTGGTTTTGAAACGTAAACAGAGTGGTAGGTCCGTTTCCACCTGGCCTGTTGCCAACTATTATAATCATATTTGTGTTGTTTATTAATTGTGAAAGCACAGGCTATTTCTTTCTATTTTAGAATAAAAATATACTTCAAAATAAAATATAAAAATAAACTAGACACTGCTGTATTTCCCTCTTTATGCGGATTTATAACAATATTTATGTCTGCGATTTTATCCTGGTTGTAGGAAAGCGCATGGAGGATTGTTTGAAATAAAATACAGTAAACTAATAATTAAATATTAAACTGGAAAGTAAATTTAATTTTGCTTCAGTACTAGTTAACAAATCTGTGTAAAAAAACCCCAAAATAATATAAATATTTGATTTTCCCAAAGGTGGCAAAAGGCCGGGTGGCAACGGGCCTAGGGTGGCAAAAGGCCGGGTGGCAACGGGTCGGGTGGCAAAAGGCCGGGTGGCAAAAGGCCTGGGTGGCAACGGGCCTGGGTGTCGAAAGGCCGGGTGGCAACGTGCTTAGGGTGACTAAAGGCCGGGTGGCGAGGGGCCGGGTGGCAGCGGGCCCGAGTAAGAACGGGCCCGGAACCCGCAAAGCCCTGCTTCTTGTGATTTTAAAAATGGAACTTGTAATAGCTTTTAAAACTTATTTTCGTAGTGAGTGAGTCAAGGGTTGTTGGGCATATACAAAAAGTTATAAGAATTTCCTTTAATTGAAGACAAAGTCCTCAGAAAAAATTGATGTAAACAGTTAAAAATACATGTGAATAATTATCAATGCGAACATAAATTCAACTGCGAATAACCATCTAACAACGCTATAAATTATTAGACATTTCGGTTCTTACTGATTACAAGCACCGTGAAGAGGCTTTTAAGCTCTTTTCATAGCAGGAGCGAATAGGGAGGGGGACGTTCCTCCGGTTTTTCCACTGCAGTCTTATTTTTTTAACAGACAGAATACAAATGGCATACATGTTACAGTATTTCGTAAAACAATATGAACACAAATTCCATTGCCTGCTGATTAATTTTTATTTTAAGATTTTATCAATTGTAAATTTAAGTAATTTAGCCTTGTCTTATATATGATTCATTTTTATGAACAAATAAATAACAATACTTGTATTACATCTATGAGTTACTTTATTAAATTGACGTGGCCATCCACCATTGGATGGGACTCTGCCGTCCAACCAAGCCCACTGTTTTTCTCGTCGGAGACACGGCCCCCTCCCCATCGGGGAAATCCATGCGCAATCCCTGTTTCGATGTTTCCATTCGACTTTAAGAGAAATTGTAGTATATTCATATTTTGTCTGAGATCGCCAATCTATTTCAGATGATGCCATATCGTTTGCACCTGAGCTCACTCACGTTTGCACCTGAACCTCCCCCACACACGTCAGCGGGTGGCCATGGGAGGGAAAGAGGAAATTCCCGTTGAACAATTGTCACACCGTAGCTCCGTGTGGAAGAGAGTCGCTTGACTATTTTATAGTTGTTTTGGATGTGTACGTTGATATAAATACATGATATAACTGTGTATTCATGAACGAGCAACTAAATACCACCTCAAAAACACCCATCAAACACCACCCTGAACAACAATACGGGTAATCTGTTGTCTTCAACATCTCGAAAATCTTGTTTTAAACTGTTTTGGGTATGCAGCAATACTTCATTATGGCCTACAGTGTCTTTACATAATTTTGTCCTTATTATAGTGGACTGTAATTTATATAT